GACGTTTTACAAACATAAATTTCACGTGGACAAACACCCAGATGCATAAAAACTATCTGTGGGTTACAAAAATAGTTGTCTCGTGTGGGAATCGCACTCACGACCCCGGACGCCGAAGCCAATACTTTGGCAACTGCCCCAGGGAATCATAGTGAACAAGTGTATCAATCTTCGTGTTAAAAAAATACCTGCAGGGTGCCGCATTTGAACAGAATGTTTTCTTTGCTATTCTTTGTATTAAAATTGTGACTTAATTTCATAACAATTTATTTCTACAAAGCTTCAATCCAGATACAAAATTCACTCGAATCGATTGCCCTAGTTTAATTATAGTGAAAAGTTCACACGTAGTAAAATCTCGTACCACACGGACGGACAGCAGAGACTTAGAAATAAGGCCCCGTTTTATAAGGAAAGAATTGAAAGACTGGTTTTTAAAGAAAATCTCTAAATATTTATTTTTGCCAATGTGTTTTTGTTGTTACGCCATAACTTGCTTAATTCTTCATCATATTTAAGACTATTTTAAAGCTTACATGTTTTATGTATTTGACGCTAAAATTAAAATAAAAATAATTGTATAGAGGAGAGTAACTAAATGTGGGCTAGTGCTTTAATATGGGCTAGTAACAATTCTCGAAAACCTACAATCAAAAGACTCAACAAACGACGATCGTCTATTGCATTCATTCGCTCTAATATCGCACCTCATTCTCGTCATTCGCGTGCAAGCTGTCGCCAGTGTCTGCCATACTTGTGTTGCTGCTGTCGAAAAATTTTCTGCGTTACGTATTAATGTGTTATTTAATGAATGAAAATTAGGTTTAAATACTATAACTATGTGTTTTATTGCAGAATATAAGTTTAATTTTATGATTTTCGGTCGATTTATTGCTTGCTATTATGATTTGTAAAGTACATAATTAAGTTGATTTTAGTAAAGAATTTCGATTATGGGCTATGGTCAAGGTCTGAGACTCAAACAGAAGAATCTACTTCTGGAACTGGACATGATCCAACAGATAACTGTCAACCTTCGTCTTCCGGAATTCATCGTAGCATTCTAGGTTTAGTATCTCTTTATGACATAAGTCCCATGCCAAAAAAAGTCAGAAAGACAACTAATAGAGGTAGAAAAGCTGCTGTGGCCTCGCTTATAACTTCGTCTCCATATAAAAATGACCTTATTCAAACAAATAAGAAGAAAATTGAAAAAGAAAATAAAATAAAAGATAAGAAACCCAAGCAAAAGTAAAGAAGTATAGGAAATAAGAAAGCCAAGGACGAACTTGAAGTTGAAGAAGATATCCAATTTGATTCAGATAGTGAACCAGATGCCCCTATAGGAAGAGAGGCTCCTGACACTGCCGACGCAGCGTGTATGTTTTGTCAGAAACTTTTTTCCGAAAACGCGGCAAGAGAATTGTGGGTCAGATGTTTAATGTGTAAGCTACCTAATGACTGTGCTGGGCCAGAGTTTGACACCTGGATATGTGATTTTTGTAAGTAATTATGTTATTTCTTACATGTACCCAAGTAATTTGATCTCTTATAAGATAAGAATTTATAATTGTTATTTTTGTACAAGATATTTTAAGTTTCTATTTGTAGCCCATATTTGAGTACCTGTTCCATATTTAGCGCCTATTTTGATATTTTGTTTAATGCTCAATTTAATAATATATTATAACATTAAGAATATAAGTAATTATTTTGACGCCAATAAATGGTTAATTTTTTGATAGTTTTTTATTTTTGAAGCAAAAACAAAATGGTAGCCCCTATTTGGTTACTCTCCTCTACTATATAGGCTGGGGAAAAAATCTTTTCGCAAATAGTATATAAGTACTTATAATCTCGTTGGCTATACCATTTGCATCTAGCTGGGTTTGGTATCATTAAAAAGTTTAAATTTTAAAAAAGATAATTACAAATTTAAATCAGGAAAACGTGTGATTTTCATTCGTTTTTCTTACTGTTAAGATGAGTGATTCTAATGAAGAAATTCGATTAAATGGAGCAAGATCGGCATACTAGTAGCTGAAGAACTGGGAGTTGACCACAAAACAGTTTTGGCGCATTTGAAAAAAGCTGGGTACACAAAAAAGCTGGATATTTGGGTGCCTCATGAGCTCACTGCAAGAAATCTAATGAACAGTGTACTCATTTGTGATTCTTTAGTACGACGCAATGAAACCGAACCATTTTTGGAAAACCTGATAACCGATGAAGAAAACTGGATCACGTAAGACAAGTACGTGCAAAAACTCTGGTAAAACTCGGGTTATCTCTCAACAAGATAATGCTGTGCGTATGGTGGGATTGGAAGGGCATTATTCATTATGAGCTGTTATCGCCACTCGCCAGGCAAGACCATTGATTCTGACCTCTACTGCGAACAACTAATAAGATTAAAGCAAGAAGTTGAGAGAAAGCGGGTGTAATTGATCAACAGAAGGTTTTTCCTCATGATTACGCTAGACCTCACACATCTTTAGCCAATCAGCAAAAATTGAGAGAGTTTGACTGGGAGGTGTTAATGCATCCGCCGTATAGTCCTGATCTTTCACCTTCAGATTTCCACTTGTTTCGGTCTCTTCAGAATTTTTTAGGCAGTGTCAGGTTAACATCACGAGAGGACTGCCAAAACCTCTTGTCGGGTTTTTGATCAGAAGCCCCAGAATTTCTATAGCAATGGGATTATGTCAACCTATAAGATCAAGATGGCAGAAAGTTATCGAACAAAATGGCACCTACATACTTTAGTTAAATGTAAATAAACTTTATTAAAAATGTTTTGAATTTCATATAAAATGTGAAGAAACTTTTTCCCCAACCTATTACTTATGTACACACGTAAGAAGTTATACTTCTGTAGCAATGATATTTTATGATATCGATATTATGTTACACGGAAACAAAATCATCTGTGGAAAGTGGTCTTTACTTCTAAACAGAGTGACAACACACATTCACACGTTTCGTTCTCTTGGTAAAAAAAAGGATAGCATAATTAAAGAAAGCTTCCAATCAGATAATAGCTACCGATCGAGCCGAGGTCCGGCACTCTCGGCCACCCTCGAATGAGAATGCTAAACGCGTGTTAAGTGACAGCCCACGCCGAGATCCTCTCTCGCGGACCCTTGAGCCTGATCACTCCATGGAGCGCCCGCCAAAGCGCCCTAAGAGTTTGGCGGCCTCCCAAACCGGTGATAATAATAGCGTGATGGCTCGAGCCGAGGCTCCCTCGGGAGCCCTCGAGCTTAGTCACCATAACGCCGAGGTTCAGGCTAGGCGCCCCGTGCGCCAGGCCACCTCAAACCCGTCGGAACTGTGAAGCCTCTAAGGCCAACAGTGACTCATCCAGCCCAAAAAAAATAAAGAAAGCTGGCAGTAAGAAATTAGAGGACGTTAGTCGTAATCGTAAATCTCTCTGCCTGTCTGAAGGTAGAGCTATTCTGCACTGGTTAAAACTTAATTTTTATTTTTAAAAGTATGTTAAAATTTAAAATTAAACGGAAAAAAGTATAGTATAAGTATATAGTGTTAAATCAGTAAGGCCATAATAAAAAGATAATATGAAAGAAATATGTTTTCAGAAAATTATGTGTTAAAATTATAAACGTTAATTATTCTGTCAACTGACATTTGTCATTGTAATTGCGATCGATTCAAATATTCAGCACTTCAAAAGGCTTTCATTGCATATTCAGTATTAAATGGATTCTAGAAAGACGTAGATTATCATATCAGCCAAAACGAGAGTAGTTAACAGCTGTCCTTTGATATTTTTCTTAAAAGGTTACGATAGCTTGAACAAAATGAGGAATTTATCAAATTGTAATAATTTTTTTGGGTGGATATATTTACTTTGCATAATAAGTGTATCATATGGTGATAAGACATCAAACTTAGATCTTAAAGACATATTGATATCAAATGAAAGAAAAACTGAAATTGAAACAAATCTTGGACCTGATATATATGACGTTCAACAAAAATTGTCAAGGCCAAAAAGAGCCGAAAGTGCGCCGAGTATAGCTAGTTCAAGTGAGACCAGTTTACCCAGTGAAAGTGTAAAATCTTTGTTGCCATCGACCTTGACAAGTTCGTCAACCGATGCTCCAATTGTTTATGACATAGGACCTTCAAACTCTTCAATTCTGACTATAGTTCAAGTAAATGCATCTTCAGCAACTGTCACGAATATTTCCGATGTTAGTCCTTCAGACGCTGCGCCCTTACCAGGAAAAAGCTCCGCTGAAGATGAACATAACAGCTCAATGGCTATATTTTTTGTGTTGTGTATTTTAGCTCTTGGTATATTATTGATCCATTTGATGTTGCAAACCGGTTTCTCTTATCTACCAGAAAGTGTTGTAATTGTTTTCCTTGGAGCTTTAATAGGCATGATTATCAACCTTATGTCAATTAGAAACATTGCAAACTGGAGGAAAGAGGAGGCATTTTCGCCCACTGCTTTCTTTTTGGTACTGCTACCACCTATTATTTTTGAATCAGGGTATAATTTACATAAGGGTAACTTCTTTCAAAACATTGGATCTATTTTACTTTTTGCAATAGTTGGAACGGCTATATCTGCTTTTGTCATTGGAGCAGGTATATATTTATTAGGGATGGCTCAAGTTGTATACAAATTGAGTTTTGTGGAGTCATTTGCTTTTGGTTCCTTGATTTCTGCTGTTGATCCTGTTGCTACTGTTGCTATATTTCACGCTTTAGATGTGGATCCTGTACTAAACATGTTAGTGTTTGGTGAGAGTATTCTTAATGATGCTGTTGCTATTGTTCTTACTACGGCTGTCTTAGACTCAAATGATCCTATGATGTCAACTTATGAAGCTATACTCTCAGCCATTAATCGGTTTTGGTTAATGTTTTTTGCATCTGCTGGTATTGGGGTAGTTTTTGCACTTATTAGTGCATTGTTACTTAAACATGTTGATCTTCGAAAAAATCCATCCCTAGAGTTTGGAATGATGTTGGTCTTTACTTATGCACCATATGTACTTGCTGAAGGAATCCATCTATCAGGTGTGTAGTCAATTCTGCTTCTTATGTATATATAATATATTAAATAATATTGACTATAATTAAAACATTTTTATTTATGTGACAAAGTGGCTTATGAGCTGGCAGAATACCTGATGTTAAGTGACAACCTCCACTCATGCAAATATACAACATCCGTAGGTTGTATATGTGTTGCCACCTTTTAATAAAATGCGCTCCAGCTACCTGACTCATCAGACGAAACGCAGAAGTGTAACACTTCTACTTTACGCAAGTCTTCTATGAGGACCCAGATGGACCTGCCCATGGTGCAACAGCGAACACTCACATGACCTTACCACAGTTAAACACATTGATGTAACAAAACATGGCAACTGTGTTAATAGAAAAAAAAGGCTACAAGTAAATATAATTAAATTTTTTTATGGCCTACAGATCTTTAAAATTTAAAGAACTTTTTGGGCTCCGATGAGTGTCTTATTTGCAAATAAGTTTTCTTACATCCATAGGGGAAACATTATTTTGTGTTCAATATATTATATTGAAAAAAATGTTTTTGCAGGAATTATGGCAATTTTATTCTGTGGTATTGTGATGTCCCATTACACACATTTCAATCTTTCTACTATAACACAAGTGACTATGCAACAAACAATGAGGACATTGGCATTTATTGCTGAGACATGTGTATTTGCCTATCTAGGCTTAGCTATTTTCAGGTAAAGATTATTTATATTCCTTATCATAATTACTACCTTTTAGATTAAGTTATATTAATACAGATTTATTTGGTTTTAAAAAGAACACTACACAGATAATACATGGAACACTTTGTTTGTGCATGGAAAGAAATGATGTTATTTATAAGTATGATTAAAAAACATAATTTATGCATATGTCACATTGTCAAACATTGGCTTGTTATTATACTTAAATACTTAAGGCCCAATAATTATTCTTGAGTTACTTTGGGGAAAACCTGTAACTGTTTAACTTTTGAAATGTTTTTTTCAGTTTTAGACATCGTGTAGAGCCTGCCCTTGTGGTTTGGAGCATCATAATGTGTCTGCTGGGCAGAGCAGCTAATATCTTTCCTCTAGCATTACTCTGCAATAAATTTCGTGAACACAAAATAACTAAGAAAATGATGTTCATCATGTGGTTTAGTGGTGAGCGATTAATTTTAATTTATTTTTAAATGAGGTTTAAAAAACAAGATAAGGTTTTTAAACATTAAGAAGTTTCTTGACACTATCTTATACCTACTTTATATCTACTTTACAATTTATATATTAACACTATCCATTACTATTGTCATTTATATTTTACAAAACGTGCTCTGCCATCAGGCTGAGTAACATAGCTCAACAACTAATGGTCAGGACAACAGTTGTTATGAAGCAGGCAATACATCAACATTGCCTTATTATTGTTTGATTTCATAACTTTGATATTTAACAACAACCGGCATAACAAAAATAATTATAATCTTTTTGTTTATTTCACTACGTTTTAAAAACATTTAAACAGAAAACACTGGTTTAGTGAATTAAAAAAAATGAACATTGTGGAATCTTTGAACCTTTTTTAAAGACACAACACCCCAAACTTTTGCAAACTTGATTGTGAAGTAAAAAGCAGTTGTTGAAGAGCAACAAAGAAACTGAAACATGAATATTTTTAGAAGTCTTTCATTAGACATCTTTTTTATTTGTCAAAATTATTTATGATAATAACTGTTCCAATGAATGTGCATTCCACTGTAATGTAAAACTATATGGTCCAGGTGTAATTTTATGTAAATAAATCAGTTACATTTCTTTTCAGGATTAAGAGGTGCCATTTCTTATGCACTTTCATTGCATCTTGAATTTTCTGATGAGACCCGACATGTCATCATAACAACAACTTTGATCATTGTGCTTTTTACTACTTTATTCTTTGGAGGATCAACTATGCCATTATTGAAATTCTTAAGAGTAAGATAATTTTTTATTTGTTAATTATTTGTTTTTCTTTACTACAATTAGTTATTAAAGAACTAATAATATTGAGTAGCTTAGGTAATTCTGTAGTATTTAGTTTAGGCTAAGTAATAATGTGTATTATAATGGCAGTTAATGTTAATTTAAGTGAAACAAACTCAAAATTCATTTTAATGTCTTATAGATAAGCTGCTGTTATAAAAGTAAAAGATTTATGTCCCACTGCAGGGCCTTGCTCTTTACAGAGAGTTTTAGGGCCATGTTTCACCTCATAATCCAATTGCAGACTTGCAGACTTCACATATTATTATAAGTATTTCTCTTTTCAAAAGATCTTTCAAAAGTTCATTGTGATGTTTTCTTAAATAATATTTTAAGACAAAAAAAGAGGATACTTACGGAGTTTCTCTCGCCTGTTTCTTCTCCATTACAGGAACCTGATTACAAATTGGTGGTAGATTTAAGAAAATTATCATCAAATTGTATGTTTCTTTATTTCAATGAATAAATGATTTAATTAGATTTGATAGATGAGCAGTAATTAATCAGTATTTAATGTTTCTATTATTATTTTTTTTTGGTAACAGTACCAAGATTTGAACTGCTCAAGCATATTGAAATTTGAACTAAGCGCAAACGCGCGAACTGAACTATCACGGTTCTGCTTCTAAAGCAATATAGTAATATTTTGATTTTATAAAATATCATTGATATGAGTTGAACCAGTCAAATGATTACGTTCCTTTCTACCAGGATCCGAACCTGCGCCTTTTGTCTTACGCACGCAAACGCTGATTGTTCTATTTACCTCAAATATAAATTACATATTCCGATCAGACTAGCACTAAAAATAAAAATATAATGATAATTGCTTTTTGTATTTTCTTTTCTAAATACTTAAAAAAATATTTTCTTTCAAATAATACTAACATAATTATAAAATGATGACATATGATTTTATACACAACAGCCAGAAGTATCAAGTTCTGGTTTGATTCCTGCACTATGCAATTTTCTGTATGATCTACAAGTATATATTTGGGCTGGATACATATGTTTCTCCTTGTATAATTGGGTTTGTTAAATGCTTCTAAAACACAGGATTATCTGATCCCAAAGTAGGGCATTTTTTTTTATAAAACAGTGATTTGAAAGCTTAGGTCGACAATCAAAGTCTATACAGCTGTAAAATACCTATTCTACTTACAGGCCAATAAAAAAGTGAAACGCTCACGGTCACAACGGAAGCAGAAGGAAGTAAGCTTATCAAAAACAAAGGAATGGGGACAAACTATTGATTCCGAGCACCTTTCAGAAATAACAGAGGAAGAACTTGAGGTATTTAAAGTGTTTTACATAGAACTTTCTCATTAAATTCAAACCCGTAATCTGTAAATTGAGTCCTCATTAATGATGGACATAATGAATCATTTGTCATGAAATGATGGTTTTCATATTTGGAGGATGATATATTATCTATATAGTGAATTATTATTTTGTCCTATTTTGTCTTTGTGCTCAAAAAGATTCTAAATAAATCAATATTTATAAAAAATTTTCAGGTTAATTATTCTCATGCAACAAGATTGAAGGGATTTGTACATTTTGATATGAAATATTTGATACCATTCTTTACTAGAAGATTTACTCATCAGGTAATATAAAAAAAATAATGTGTTAAGGTTTGTGTTTAATTATAATTTAAGTTCTTTCAACAAATTTTTTATGTTTAACAGGAATTAAAGGACTGTAAAAGCCAAATGACAGATCTGACGAACCAATGGTATCAAGCAATAAGGATATCTAATGAACATGAAACAGATGAGGAAGAAAGTATACAGCAAAGTTCTCTTTCAAATTCACACACTAGTCTACAGCGAGGAGTATAATTTTCGCACTTTTCATTAATTTCAATATTAATAACATAGTATAAAATCATGAGTATTTATAAAATACAAGAAAGGTATTGTTTATTTAAGATTATAAGTTTTAAGAATAATTCAAAACTTTATATTAGTTGATCTAAAGTTATATATATTTTGTAATATTACCATGGTCAATTGGTTTTCTAGAGATTTACATTTTATTTAAGCAGCCCACAATTACTCAATTTAAATTAATAATACATAAATGGTTCTATAAATTTCACAGATAAGTCAGAATTTTAATGAAATGCTTAATATGAAGAACTTAGATTGCTTTTCATATGCTGGCTTCTTTTACTTATTTTTAGAAGGGCCTTTTTTGGTGCTATTTTTGAAAACATTAATCTTGTTTTTTAGAGCTATTGATAATGAATCTTTTTAATGTGATGTATTAAATTGTATGCTGGGATAGCAGTGAAACAGCATGGATAATAATAAAATTCATAAATTAGGTCTATACCTAATGATAATGCAACATTATAGAGTCATAATGGCGAAAATAAGCACAAAGTTCAAAATTTTGTATTATTTGACATTTGTGTGATAAAAAACTATATAAACTATAAGTGTTAATCAGCCAAAGTGCAGCTAGTGAAAAAAAACCTGTAAATATGATGTTAAATTGTGGCCATATTTATAGTCACATATGCCATATTAAAAATTTATTAAGATAATAATTCATTTTATATGTAATTTTACATAACAAAAGAAACCATGAAATTCAAAACAAAGCATGTAGTCATTTATATATATATATATTGATGGATATATTCTGCATGTACATTCCCATGACAGTGACTAAACATCTATTAATACATTTCTTGTAGACATTTCTATTACAAAAAGATTTTCTCGAATTTATTAGTATTATTTTAATAGTGTAAATCAATGATGCAAATTTGCATTGAAAAGCATTTAAATATTTATTTGCAGGTTTCTTACCCCATAATCATCCAATGTCAACAAAATGACACATTTCTGCCTTAAAATGTAAAAGTGACTTTTCAGTAATAATTTTTTTTTCTAATGGACTAAAAATAATAGACATACATAAATTATAACTACATATGAATAATAAATTTAATACTTGAGAATTATGAAAATAATAACAATATATTTAGTATTTTTAGTTTAGTTTATTATTTTTCAATACATTTAGATAAATTTACAGTATTATTAATGTTTATTCTTGAATAGTAATAAAGCATTTGTGAACATGTTCTTAGCTATTTGAAAAATAGCAAAAAAAATAAGTTTAAACTGTTGCTTTTTTGTGTTTTTTATTCAATTCGTGTGTTATAAGCTATTAACAGTGATAATATAAATAATTAAAAAAGAAAGGTCCTTGTTTTATTAACATGTTTTTTTTGTGATAATAAAAGTAAATGATAATGTCATGCAAGTAAATAGCACACAAATAAGCTCAAGCTTCATTTAAAACCAAATGATGAATTCTTTTTTAATTCTAATTTATTATTCTTCGTCATTTTCCAGATTAATGTGGCTGCCAAATTTCCCATATAGGTGGGCTTTCAAATCGCTCATCTGAGATCTTAGAGCTTCACACTGTGCTTCCAACTCACTTATTTCATTCTCTTTTTTTAATTTTGTTTTTTCTAATGATTTCTGCATAAAAATAAAGATAAATTACATATTTAGTTTTTGTATAAATAAACATAATGTAGGAAAAAGCTTATATAATATTCAATTGAGGGTTAGTCACATATTATCTGTACATTAAGTTAGGAGGTTGTAGTTTTTATTGTAAGTTCCTACTAATACCATAGAATGAGTCACATATTATCTGTACATTAAGTTAGGAGGTTGTAGTTTTTATTGTAAGTTCCTACTAATACCGTAGAATGATTTGTCAGATGACATTTCATACTATTATTTTAAATAGAGAATAACATACATGTGGAATGTTCAGTGAGCAAAGAACACTGCATACAATTTATTTTATATATATAAACAAAAAAAATACTTCCCATTCAGATTTGTTAACTTAACCTTATCAGACACTACAGAATTGGTTCAAATGCAAGTGTAATAGAAGTACATTTACATTATAACAAACTTGTTTTTCGAACCCATTTGTCAACCCTTGTACATCATGGTCTTGGTCTGTCCTACTCCTAGTGTTTTAAGAGCCCGGAGGGAGGACAGCATTGCTTTAGTATATGGTAGCATACAAAGGGTCAGGGGAGGGGCCCAGGGGTGCCGGGGAGATATGGTGAACCTCACTATAAGAGGGGGGTGCAGAAATGTATAGATTCTGAAATATATTGAAAAAAACTACCCTAATCTAGGCAATGGTTACTATGGTGGTAGTTATTTAGAATGGTATTTATTTAGAATGGTATTTCTTTAGATGGTGGTAGGTGGTGGCTCTTCCTTAGCGGCTCTATTTCTGGGTGATTATAAAAAAATAACAATGAAGGTAAACTAAAGTAAATATCTGCCGTTACAAAGGAGTATGAACGCCCGTGGCTTTGAAATGCAAAGGCAAAGGGACTGCTATTCCCGCAGCGCTGGAGATAAAGCTGAAGTACTGGTTCTACATATTTTAATGAAGTACTGGTACTTACTACTTCCTAATTAAGTAATATTTGAATTAAATAGAATACATTATAGGTTATAATCATATGACGTTGTAAAGTAAAATAATTGTTAACAAAATTTACCAAAGTATCTTCCACAGTTTGGCATACAAACACCTCACCAATTAAGTAAGGAATTTTATCTGTGTCATCCGCCAGTCCCAATTCCTCCACTGCTTCTTCTAAATTTTTCATATCGTTTTGCTTTACTTTAAGCTCATCCTTTATATCGTCAACTTTGGCGTTAAGCCTAGCAAATTTGTTAATTTTTTGTTGATCTTCATATGATATGTGGACGTCCGAATCCTATATAAAATTGTAATGTAAGTAGAATTTAGAATTTCTCAAGTAAATAAGGACTGATAAAAGTTATAATGATGAACATACAGGTTGAAACGTGCCTTTTCCGGTATTGGCCATTTCAATTCAAAATGTTTAAAAAATATATTTTTCGGCTTTTTATAAAACCCAAAACACACAACGCAATGGAAAGGAATACAAAATTACAGATAAAATTTACCGAGTACCGAGCATACCAAAGAGCATGTAGTACAAAGAGAATTTAATCACTACGTTTAAGAGACGGGATTTCCATATTAGCCAAAAATATCAGTTTACGCGGCACTCCAATACCAAACATACCACAAAGATGTCAAACATCAGGAGTACCAACGTAACGAGACAAATAGTGCTTAACCAAGCTAGCTTAGCTTCTTATCGATATCGATAAAATATACTCGGTAGAAAGCGAGGTTTCCACAGTATTTTTTTTTTAATTAATTTTAGGTAAGTATCGAGTCCGTATTTATGTCAAATGTTGATGATATTTGGTACTAATACAAGATTGGACTTAAATGCGGACCCGAAATAAGATAAAAAACGGTTTTTGATAATTGAAATAAAATTTTATTACTGAAATGAAATTTGTTTCTTGATTCTTCAGCCAACAGCTGTTGTTCTACAGTACACGAGTCTGGAAATAATTGAAACATAAAAATAGAATCAAAAATTATTTTAGTTTTCTTGCATACTCAGCGCACGAAATCAATTATAATATGAAGTATCAATATTACAGAGATTATGTTTCAAAATCCTGCAAAATTCGCCTATTCCAATCCTTGCTCATTTAGGCACAACATTTATGTAGGCACAACATTCAAATATGTAAAACTTTGTGCCCGTACTTGTTCACGCAACATTTTATTTCTTATTTGTTTTTCAATGATAAACATTAACGTAGTTACCGATATGTGGATATTACAGTTGCAGTACATCACTAGCACACAATTTAAATGAGATAAATTTGTTAATTTTATTTGTTCTTAGCCTGCTCTACTTACATATGGCTGCAAAGTATCATATTTAAGTGCTTACATGGGCTTCATCTAAGGGAAATCGCCATAAACATCCTTTTTTTAAGGTTCGAATGACTTGCTCGATTTTCACCAATTTCACAGGTAATAAACCGTCTTTTTGGCATTTTGAATTAAAAGTACGACTCTGATCACCTGTCACTAGTTTTCGTGAGAAAGTTTACTCTAAACAATTTAAATTTACAATGAAATAAGCATTTACATTCAAAATACGCGGTGCAAAATTAAGTTTTGACAAACAACATGGCACTTCTTGTATTGCAAGAAAGAGAAACCGCATTGAGGGAAAGTGATAGCAATGTCCGCCATTATTAGCCGTGTAAAGTCCATAGAAAATTTTTTGTTCCTAGTTTCGCGAGCATACATTACATACAGAGTATGAGAGTACAGACAGACTACAAAATGTCAGTGTCAGTGCGTGCATGCGAATGCGACAGCTATGACCAGAGTTACCAACATACTCTCTAAATTTTTGCCCCTAAAACTCAAGTCAAAAACCCCCTAATAAAATAATATTAAAAAATTATAAATAATAAACAGTGCCAAGATATTTGCCTTAATTTCCAAATGAATGTTATAAATACAGTAAAAAATATTGTTATTATAAAAAGTGGTTAAAGAAAAGTTGTAGGAAATTTTGTTAAAAAATGTTTTATTTTTACGTAAAATTAATATAATTATTATTGTAAATAATAAATTCAATTTTGTAATATTTTTTTTTTATTATTCATACATCATACATTAGTTTATTTTCTTCAGGTTCTGATATTTTGAAATTATACATACATTATATAATTATACTAGTATTGAATAAAGTTACTATTTTGGCGGATGGATTAAAATTTATACAAGATCCACCATTTCGTTGCAGTGTAAATCGAACCATCATCATATTTTGTAACATTTCAATTTTGTGTTTTATTAAGAATACTGAATTTAAAAGTGGTCTAAATTCTTATTCAAAAAAGAACCACATGATTTTTCCCTTGGAAATAGGGTATACAAAAAGCAGAAAGGAACCAACTGCAATAAAGGACATTACATATAAAGCCAAACCGAACCACAGTACAACGGGACTCGATTGTTCAAACAAATAAACCATATTATACAAAATGTGTGTCATTTTATACAAAAGTGATCCACACATACTTGGTTCCATTATAAATTTCACAGATTTCAATTATTAACAATCATTTTTAATATACCAAATCGAACCAAGATTCTGTGGTATCGTTATGCGTAAAACAAATTCATAATTTAATTCCTAATATTTTTTGCAAAATGGAACCACAAGCTTCGGTTCTATCATGTATATATACATTGTGTCAAATAGTAGAACCACTAGTATGTAATTCCATTAATAATATAACGTTTTGAAACACACCATCACCCAAAGGTACCAAATGAAATAACTTACCTTAGTAAGTTACCTTTTGCCTTTAAACAACGTAATATAGTTACTTGTACCTACTCTTATATCTACTGGAAAAGTCGAACTGCACCGGAATTTATTTATCAAAACACTAGGCGTTACGACAAAGATCATTAATACTGATTTAAATAAAGTGATGTCGGACAATTATATATTATATAGATGGGAATTTGGAGGTAAGAACAAATGCAACGACGAAATAGTTTTATACGTGAGGTGCCAATTAAATTATCTTCCTAAGTATAAATCACACTATATTAGAAGCTAGTCCATGACCAAATATCTTATGCCAGACATGACTTTGGACAGTATGTTCGATTTAAACTGTGAAAAATATATAGAAGCTGAGAAGGTCAGTAAGGAATGTATTGTTTTTATGTAAGAAGATGGCAAGCGAGCAGGCGGTATAAGTGATAACCACCATCCATGGATATTTGCAACACCCGTACATCTGCGACCCGCAGATGTATTGTCACTTGTTAATAAAGTGGGCCTTGGGTACATTACTCTCCAGACGAAACGCAGAAGTATAACTCTTCCACTTCACGCCAGTCTGTGTGGTCGTGGTATTTCCCCGGACGGACCCGCTCATTCGTGCAACAGCGAAGACTGATGCGTGGCCTATATTTAAATCTTAGACGAATACTACCTATTAAGAAAGATTCTTGTAACAAGTGTGACACATTACTATCGGAAATTAACTCCTTGCAAACATGCTGAGGAGAAAACAGCCATAGGTACAGAACGCGAAGAACATTGCACGAAAAGAGGCTTAAAATCGAAACTAATTCTTGCTATTAAATGCAAGAAAGTAGTCTCAAGTTTGATCTCTAAAACATTACTTACTATAAACACTAGCTTTCAAATTAAAAGAGAATCATCAAAATTAGTTCGCTCAGTCGAAAGTTCTAAGGTAACATAAAATCATAAAAAAATACAGTCGAATTGATAACCTCCTCCTTTTTTGAAGTCGGTTGATAAAATAGAAAGCGATTCTATTTGGGTCTAGTTGCAAGGCAGCTTGCAACACAGGGCACAGTTTACTCGCCACTGTCCGACGGTTTACACGACTGTACTTACTCATTGCACTTGTCTGTTTTACTAAACACTTGACCAGTGTAAATCGGGCTTAAAATTTATCCTACGCTACCGATATTGAATGCGTTTGGACGGACACTTGTCATACATCTTGTATAAACCGATGTTTTTGCTTTCAGTCCCGAGATTATTAAAGCTTCATCTGATGCAGAACCGGTGGGCTAGCCAGATTCAACGGGTTTGGGCCCTCCGCTGTGGGTAGGGCCGCGCACGTGCTCATGTGTGCGTTAAACTACGGCATGTCATCTAAGGGCCATCGAAGTTGCGGTGCGGACCGATACCCCGATGGCCGTCGACTGTGTTTTTAGCTAATCGGTGGCTGGGGGCGGTGAGAACCGCCCGGGAACGCGGGTGTACCTTGTGTACGCGTTGTGTTGGTGTTGCCGTACTCGGAGGCGAGGGCGAACAATTGTTTTTGTTGTTACACTAGCTGTGGGTGTAGTGTCATCCGGCGGGACCACCGACGGTGGGTCCCACGTATCTAAGTCCTCGACCGTGTCGGTGAGGACGTTTCGCGGGCGACGCTTGTTGACGTTCGCGTCTGTGTCGGGTTGGTAATTTGCTGCGCTTACCACCAGAGGGTTGGGATGATGTTCGGCTCTATCGAAGAACCGTTTGGTCAAGTCTTTAAAAAAATCGCGAATCGTCGGGAGTCTGCCATCGGTGTGCAGATCGACGTTGCGTTGATACCACTGCGCACCGGTTGCGCTGCGGATGAACTTATTTTGTACTATTTGCAGCTTGTACAAGCAATTAGGGTGCGTGTGGGCGAAGGTCATGCATGCATAACAGGTTGTACGCAGGTCTTATATAATAATAATTTGTGCCTTAAGAGCATTTTACGGATTTACTTTTATTCTCCATTTGCGGAACCAGTTGCCGAGGCGGTCTTTGGAGACGACTAGTGAGTTGATTGAGATTTTTTAAAGAGTTCAAAAGAGCACCGTGTCATCCGCGAATTGTGAGATTGATGTGGGGGTCTTTGAGTATGTCGCTCGTGCAGAGCGTAAAGAGTAAGGGTGAGAAGGAGGAGCCTTGTGGAACACCAGCCGTTAGGAGACGGATTGTAGAGAGGGTGCCCTCAACTCGATATCGAAAAGAGCGGTTCGAAAGGAAGGCCCAGAGGGTGTATACGAGCCTATCTGGCAGTTTGAGTGCGAACAGCTTGTAAAGCAAGCCGTTGTGTCAGACCTTGTCGAATGCCTTTGCGACATTGAAGGAAAGAGTCCCCGTGCTAATATGTTTCGGATGATTTAAGCCTTCTAGGATGTGTTCCGTCAGGCGGTATAATTCCGCGTCCGGTCAGGGCAGGAATGTTTAGCTCGAAAGCCGAATTGTTTCGCCGGCAAAAGTTCGTTGGAAAATACATGCTCTTTGAGCCTGTTTAATAATAGCCACTCGTAGAGCTTCCCCAGGCAACTGAGGAGGCTGATGGGACGATAGCTTGAGGGCTGATTAGTGGGTTTATTTGGCTTGCGAATGCCGATAACCGTGGCTTCTTTCCAGTCGTCCGGAAA